CCGCACCCCAGCTGCTCATCCCCCCAGCACATGGGCACGAGGCATGTGTTCGTCGGTCCCACCGCTGCTCAGCACCTCCACCAGCGCAGCTCTAGTGCCTCGCCCCGCAGCTCTTCCTCAATACAGCGCTCCATCAGCTCTATCCCGTACTGCCACGAGCACCGTGGTGACTGTCTGGGCCGCAGCCATTCTCCTCCCAGTTTCTCGGGCTCACCTCCTCTGCGCCGCTTTCATCCTCACACACAGGAAGGATGCTGTGGGAGACAGGCCCGCTCCGCCACTGTACACACCCAACGGGGCAAAGCTGGCATCCGTGAGGTCAGATGCTCGAGCAAGCTGGGCAGATAGTCAACCACAGGTTTCAGACACTGGCAGAAGAAGTGAATGAGTGAAAGTGGGACCTTTGGGTTTCAAAGATCCCAATTTCTACAATAGCTAAAAAAAATAGTTGATTCTCATTCCCTCGCACATCTGCAGTTTTTGCAACTCCTTTGTGTCCTCTCCATTAATAGCCTCAATTTTTAGATGCTGGCTTTTAGGAACACCAAAGTCACTTTCAGAACATGGGAGGTTATACGTGATGGTGATTGGCTGGATCTTTAGTAGTTTATAGTTTGTTTTCTTTCAAACATTCCAGAGCTTTTATGAAGATTACTGTATCATGAACTACATGAGGTTTGCATCAAGATTGGCTGTACTACAGTATTTATTATGTTATTTATTTGGGCTTTGATGCATTGCAGCCCTCTCTGAGCAGTGGCAGGTACACTGATAGATCATGCCATCATTAACCCTTTCTGTGCTTGTGCTTTGGCTACTGTCAGCACTAAGACATGGCCTGAAACACTGTACGCAAGTATGTGAACTGACATGCTGTGGTTGCATGTTGTTGCATTTGAAATCTGTGCCGAAAACAAAAACTCAGTCATTAGTGTTCTTACATGGGAAAGGTTTATTTTTAGGTCAACTAATATCATGAGCGGAGCAACAGTTAGAAGAGAACATTGCTGAGTTAGCGTTCTTAAAACGTAACGGGATAGTTCACCACAAAATGAAAATTCTTTCCTCATTTACCCACCCTCATGTTGTTCCAAAACTTTCTGTGGAACATACAAGAAAATGTCAGAAAATGGACATTTTGGAAATCAGCGGTAACCAAAACGGGTTGGTTACCAACATTCTTCAAAAGATCTTTCTCAAATGTTCTTTTGTGTTCCACGGGAAAAAAACTAAACATTAATACAGTTTTGAAACTACGTAAAGGTGAGTAAATGATGACAGAATTGTCTTAATAATTCTTGGGTGAACTATGCTATGTTCAATGGGACCATGCGCTTGTACTAGCGTAGACTGTTTCTAACATCACTGAGTTTGCAAGAGGAAGAGTTCTTCCTTTTTCAAGAATTGGTGACCACTGAAACGATCAAAAAAAAAAGTGTTTTTGCACTTTGATGTGCCTAAAGAAGTTTTGCTTTGGAATATACAGTGGTGTGAAAAACTGTATATGTACTGATTTCTTATTTTTTTGCATGTTTGTTATTAAATTCCATGTTTTTGCCATTTGTGAATAATGGCTCTCACTGTGGTTCGCTGGAGTGCCAAAGCTTTAGAAATGGCTTTATAACCTTTTCCAGACTGATAGATCTCAATTACTTTTTCTCATTTGTTTCTGAATTTCTTTGGATCTCGGCATGATGTCTAGCTTTTGAGGATCTTTTGGTCTACTTCACTTTGTCAGGCAGGTCCTATTTAAGAGATTTCTTGATTGCGAACAGGTGTGGCAGTAATCAGGCCTGGGTGTGGCTAGAGAAATTGAACTCAGGTGTGATAAACCACAGTTTTAACAGGGGGGCAAACACTTCTTCACACAGGGCCATGTAGTTTTGGATTTTGTTTTCCCTTAATAATAAAAACCTTCATTTAAAAACTGCATGTTGTGTTTACTTGTGTTATCTTTGATTAATATTTAAATTTGTTTGATGATCTGAAACATTAAAGTGTGACAAATGTGCAAAAAAATAAGAAATCAGGAAGGGGGCCAACACTTTTTCACACCACTGTACAGTATATAGGGCAGGCTCAAGCTTACAGAATCTGGAGTTACTAACTGTTTGTTAACTTTGTTTTTCTGTAGAGCCTCTGGTATCCCACAGCAATGTACCGTTTCCAGCAGAACAAAGTGTCATATAAGTCACACTTATTTTTTACTGGTTATTTGCAGGCCCTTATATAATCTATGCCTGTTATACTTAGCAGAAAACTCGACTTAAAACTGAACCATCCTTCAAGTTCTATATAGTAGATTGCATTTTTGAATATAAAATATTTTAGTTGATGTGATTTGTGCTTTCAGCTACCAATAAGAATGACATGCTCTCAGCTCCATTAAACATTTACCATTTTTAACCCGTTTTACAGATTCTCTCTGGGTGTCTTGACTTTGCATATCAAAAATCACTACTCACCTTGCATACAATCTGTCAACTTAATGTTAAAACGGAAGGTTTTAAAGTTGCGATAATTTTACTATTTCTTATTTTATGGGAAGAGTTCTGATACTGATACAGTGGCCAATATTCACGGATTAAACGTATAGTTTTATTATATGTGCCACATGATATCCAATTGAACAAATGTTAGTTTTACAAACTAAAACTTCAACGTTTTTGGGCTGCTATTTGCCATTTGTCACTCATATCAAAGTTTTACATGTTTCAGAGTTCATTAAAAAAATAACTATACATATTTTTGAAAAGCATGCATCTAATTCCCTTCAAAGGCTGGAACAATAAGTTGCACAGCCGTCTTCCCTCTCCGCCTGTAAAATGCTGTAATATAGCTTCCACTTCACATAGAAGGCCAACTCGTTGCATGAGCTACAGAAAAATAACAAAACGCTGCCATGTACAATAAACCCAGCATACAAGTTTTCATATACCTGGAGTTTGTGGCCTGATAAGTTCTGTCATCTTGTAAAGAAGGACTTCATGTTTATCATTTCCTGTCTGTCCTCTGGTTTGTGTCTTAAATATATTCTCTTAAACTCACTACCCATGGTTTAACTTTATATCAGCACTTGCAGAGAGAACATTTGCAGAGTGTACTTACTCAATCCTCAGCTGGTTAATATGCATTTATGAGTATGAGGGTGTAATCTGGTAGGTGATTTGGGATATCAGCATATGGCATCATACAAATATGAATTTTTTTCTCAATAAAAAAAACCGATATAAGCATTAGAGGAAAAAAAGGCATTAGTACCAAGATTTTTTTTCCCAATTATTATCATTATAATAGCATCGCTTTAGTCAGACAATTTACAGTTGCAATCACAGCCTTGTATTATATAGTCAGTAATCGTTATTAATGGGTCAGATTTAAGACACTTTCTGCTCAATCACCTTAAAACCATCACTGCAATAAATCCTTTGGCGAAGGAGATTACAGGCATATTTCACCATAGCAAACTTTTTATGTTCGTCAGGTCAATGTTAAATAACAAAGAAAACAGGACAGAATTTTCCAGGACACCCTGAAATGCTGTTTCATTTCAATTTCGTTGACAAACCCCTTTGCCTTGTTTAAAATAAAATCAATGTATTTAGTGATTAGTGAAATGCAATTTAGTACACTGGTTTTATCCCATCCAAAGCAGACCGTTTCATTGCTTGATGGATCTCAACCTATTTTCTCCATGCATTTTGTCTCCATATTGAACACTTAAACTGCACAGTATTATTTTGACAATGGACTGAAAGTTAATCTGTGTAGTACGATTTCTCTGCATTTCATCTCTAACAATGCAAAGGCTGAATTTCTCTATTACTGCTATATTATTAATTGTCACAAAATGACAAGCAATGATGTGACCGTATGAGAAAAGAAAATCCATTTTTACATCTGTATAATTTTTATTTATTTTTTTCTTACTGCATATTGTTGTTCACAATTTATGAAGTTAAATGTACAGTGTACAAAAGAATGTTATGGGGTGGGACATTGTACATTATTGTAATTATTTGTGTTAATTTTTATTTGTATCATAAATGCCTTGTACAGTGTTTTATTTTATTTATTTTTTTTCGTTGTTTTTTTTTTTCAGTTGGAATTATTTTGTATTTTATTTTTATAAACTTGCTATGAATAAAATTTTCATTCAGCATGCCAACAGAGGTCCCCGAACATTAAATTCTGAATTCTAAAGCGCAAATGGGGTCCTTGCGCTTTAGAATTGGGGGGAGACGTCAGGTTAGTGAGTAAATAAATTGAAATTAAATATTTTTTTAAAAATGAATTAAAATGGAAATCAAATATTAGATTAATTACACACTATTATATTCATTAAAATATTGGTAAATAAAAATATTAGTAAATAAAATTGTATGTAAAGGCTATATAAATAATTATGATATGTATCATAAATAATAATAATGTATTATTAATAATACTTTTATTCATCAAGGATGAATTAAATGGATCAAAAGTGACAGTAAAGACAATTACACTTTTCCACAAAAATCTATAAAAAAAAAATTTCTATTTATCTAAGAAAATCACCTGTCAGCTATTACCAATCATAATAGCAGCAAATCAGCATATTAGAATGATTTCTAAAGATCATGTGACACTGAAGACTGGAGTAATAATGCAGAAAATTCAGCATTGCATCACAAGAATAAATGACAGTTTAAAATATTTATTTATTTATAACTAGCTGTTTTATAACTAGTTTAAGCAGCTAGTTAATAAGTGGCGAAAATAATAAAACATAAAGAATTCCTAAAAAAGATTTGTGGGCAGCTAAGATTAATCATGTTTCATTTGACACTTTGGGTAACAAAATATATGGGCTAGATGCAACCAGATTCAGTTTTAGTTTTTAAAACAATTGCTTCTGAGTGCATTTACATCGCCGTTCAAAAGTCTCTTATGCTTGCTAAGGCTACATTTATTTGATCATACATACAGTAAAAACAGTAATATCACAGCAATCGGTTGGGATGGTCCTCAAATCCCTGTGTCAGGCTGGACATATTTGTGAGCATGTGGATCCTTGGAGGGAGGCCCGTTACTATAGAAACGTGTGTGAAGGTCCACGTGCATGTGACCACTGGTGCCCTCTTGTCATGGTAATTATGCAGTCAAGAGCAGTTTCCACTCTGATGCTTCACATATCAATAAAAATCCTCCTGAGTCTAGTGTCATTAAGATTAAAACCAGACTGTTTTACATTTTACATTGCACAACTCATATGCCATAACAGATAAATCGGGATTTTCATAAGGCCTAATCTCTTTTCTTTCATTGGCCCATAGGGAAATATTCAAATATGGGGGTTGAGTGTTACTTCCAGAACATTAGACTGGCTAAATGGGCAGACATGCTCTTCCTATGTGTCTTGCCCTCTCATCTACCTCAAGTCTGCGCAGACATTGGCTGCTATCTGCCTTCAGGCTGTCTGGTGTTCAGCTTCACCTCGGCAGTGCCACTCAAGATGAACATACTTAAGATTATTAGCCTTAGTTTTGCATTCCCACTTTTATTTATCGTGGAATTAGGAAAATGGCCTGTGCTTTGTGATCTGTTTGTTGATTGAATGTCTCAAATATTGATTATACTTCCAAATTTTAGATTTTGAGGGAGTAGTTGCAATAAGACATAAATAAATAGTGATTTATTGAACTTCATATATAGCCACAATATGTCATACTATCATTAAGTGTCAGCTTGTCATCTTCTCAAAGCTTTAATTTGTCCATTTCAGGCTTGCTGTGCTCCTTGACAACAGTTTTATTATCAAACCCCAGTTTGAGTTTGTGGCTTGTGATGATGTCAATACAATTTGGCTTCTTCACAATCGAGTGACCGCAGCTTTAAAGGATAAAGAAGTGATTTCAGCCTCAGTTCCTCTATCAGTGAATGGTGTGTGAAAATTGCAGATGTAACCTTGACCATGCATTTTTATTTCCCCTCAAAATATGTCTATATCTATCTGGCATTATTATACATAAACATAATTATTATTATTATTAACTACCATTAAAAAAATTTGGGGTCAGTAATATTTTTTAAAGGGGTCCTATTATGCTTTTTCACTTTTTCAACTTTAGTTAGTCTGTTTTCAACATTGATGATAATAAGAAATGTTTCTTGAGCAGCAAATCAGCATATTAGAAGGATCATGTGACACTGAAGACCAGAGTAATGAAAATGCTTTGCATCTCGGGAAGAAATTACATTTTAAAGTATATTCAAATAGAAAACAGTTATTTTAAATTGTAATAATCTTTCACAATATTACTGTTTTTATTGTATTTTTATTAAATAGAGACCAAATTTAAAAATCTTATCAACCCCAAACTTCTGAACAGCAGTTTAAATTACGGTGGCCGAGAAGTGCAAAGCAGATCACAATTCTGAAAACAAAATAACAAATTACAAACGCAAATGCAAGTCTAAAAAACAAAATAACAATTCAGAAAGCACAACAACAATTCCGGGTTCGATCCTGTCTTTTGACGAACTTTTTTTTTCTCCCTTTTCAAATCTCGTATTAGCAATGGATTCTATTTACACTAAGTGCAAATAGCAGTATTTTTAGCAATATGCTATTTACACTAAGTGCAAATACCTATTTACACTATGTTAAAATATCAGGATTTCTACTATCAAGTATACTACTTGTTGCAAATAGTGGCAATTATCTGCACTTCAGTATTGTAGTACATTATAAAACAGTATGCAATAATAACGTATTGAGTGTACTTAATTTTTATTGAAAAGAAATGCCTTTACGATGTGATACGAGATTTGAAAAGGGAGAAAAAAAAAGTTCTGCAAAAGGCGGGATCGAACCCGGGTCGATCGCGTCAAAAAGCCAAAGACACGCGCTTATCCATCTGCTCCACTGGAGCTGATATTTTACAACCACGTTTAACTAAATGTAAATATACACTCCGTATATTTTATTCCATAGTAAGGGCAATTCATACAATACATTTAAACTGAGCTACTTTAATACCATCTCCGAACTTTCTACCACGACTCTGCTGTTCTTCGGCTGGTTCTTCTCTGTATACGTTGATTGACAGATGTCCAGTCAGCGGTGAGTAATACCAACCAATGGCGCTGTCTCAAACTATACCTACCTCTTCCGGTTTGTCTGATTTGTCGTTGTGTTTTCTGACTTGTAAATTTGTTTTCTGAATTGTTGTTGCGCTTTCTGAATTGTTATTTTGTTTTCGAATTTGTCATTGTGTTTTCTGACTTGTTATAATGTTTTCTGATTTGTTGTTGTGCTTTCTGAATTGTTATTTTGTTTTTTAGACTTGCATTTGCGTTTGTAATTTATTATTTTGTTTTCAGAATTGTGATCTGCTTTGCACTTCTCTGCCACCGTAGTAAATGCACTAAGAAGCATTTATTAAATTTTTTTTAAACTGTACAATTGCATCTAGGCCATATGTTTTGTTTCCAAGACAAATTATTTAAAAAGTTCACTGATTAATCTTAGTTTTACGAATATCTTTTGTAGGAATTATTTTTGCAACTTTATAACTAGCTGCTTAAACATACAATAAGCGTTTTATTTCCCTTCCAAATATGTCTATATCCATCTGTCACGTGAAGTCAATATGGTTTTCGTACGGTGAGCTATAAGACTCCACTGTTTGCTGAAGGTGGCCTCTGCTGAGCTCTACAGTCTCCTCAACATGTGCACGACAGAGAAGCTGGGCTCTGGAAAGACTCTTCAGCTGCTAAACAGGCTGTTTGAGACTAAGACTTTTATCTATCACAGTTTTGTAAGTTTACCCTCACCCTGACGAGTGAGTCTAACACATCTGATCATAATTGTTCAGAATGAATTAGAGAATTGTGATCTGCTTTGCACTTCTCTGCCACCGTAGTAAATGCACTAAGAAGCATTTATTAAATTTTTTTTAAACTGTACAATTGCATCTAGGCCATATGTTTTGTTTCCAAGACAAATTATTTAAAAAGTTCACTGATTAATCTTAGTTTTACGAATATCTTTTGTAGGAATTATTTTTGCAACTTTATAACTAGCTGCTTAAACATACAATAAGCGTTTTATTTCCCTTCCAAATATGTCTATATCCATCTGTCACGTGAAGTCAATATGGTTTTCGTACGGTGAGCTATAAGCACTGTTTGCTGAAGGTGGCCTCTGCTGAGCTCTACAGTCTCCTCAACATGTGCACGACAGAGAAGCTGGGCTCTGGAAAGACTCTTCAGCTGCTAAACAGGCTGTTTGAGACTAAGACTTTTATCTATCACAGTTTTGTAAGTTCACCCTCACCCTGACGAGTGAGTCTAACACATCTGATCATAATTGTTCAGAATGAATTATGACTATTATTCAACCTTGTTTTATGATCATTTATAATAGCTTCTCTCTGTTGTTTTATAGCCTTTTTCCGTGGATCAGTTTGGTTGATGCACAAACTAAAGACACTCCACTGACTGATTTGGTGTCAGGAGATAAAGGTTTGCGAGATTGAATACCTTTCTTAAAACAGAAATAGCTTCTTCCCAAACTGCTTTTGAGTGGTCTTATGTCTCGGGACTTTTATTATGTAGTCGTATGTGTCTGGCAGCCATTCAGAAGAGACTTTACTCTCCAGAATCAGAACACGTATTTACAAATTAGCGGACTTCCTGGGCGTCGAGCGTTGTTTGTCAGGCAGCACTGTTGCTTCTACAGCATCACACGCCCGCAGCAGGTACGTGTATGTGTACATTCAATGATCAAATGATACAGTACGTGTGGGTTTAATACATACGGCGGGTTTGGTTTGAGTGCAGATGTGTTTTGTGCTCTGCTGAGATTGATGGGTTGATGGTGAATTTCACTTTAGTTACTCGACGTGCCCAAACTGATTCGTATGAGCTTCATGAGTCAGTTGTTGACGGCTGCGCACAAAATGTAGTCCAACAGCCTTATTTATATTTAATATTAGACGACAGTATGCATTGTTTCATGTCTTCTTGCAGAATTTGTGTTTCAGGTTTAAATGAGGTTCATTGAAAGACACCTGATTCAGGTAAGAGCTTTCCATCTTTACTGCATCTCTGATTAGATGGTGATGAATGTGATGATGGTTTCTATACTGCATGTGTTTGCTGCTCTAGAGATGGAGAAACTAGAGACAACAGAGCTCCAGTCCAGACTGTCATCCCTGTCTGTTTCTTCTTTCCCTGGTATAACGTCGAAAAACTGTGAAGCAAACCCTTCAAACAGGTTTGTGCAGGTTTGTCGGAGCTCACCAATGGTTATTTTAGATGTCAAAGGTATGGAAAGCTCATCCTTCCCATTTTCATTTTGAAGACTTCAAAGCACAGACCTTTCCCGGACAGTAATCCAACCGGACACCCAAACTAAAATGGACGATAACAGCGAATCTGCTCCATCTGCTGAGGTACAGTGAATCCAAGCCTGTCAGATACGTGTGAATAAGTGTGCTGTGCTTCTGTGTATGTATTTTGTGATGTTGTCAATAGGAGCCCAGCGCATCTCTGGGGAAGGCAGAGGCGGGTGACTCACAGGAGAGCAGTACTTCACCCCCCGGGGAGAAAAAAGGTTAGCAAACCCCCCTATTAGAGAGGTGAAGCTAAGCTCAGGAAACCTTCTCATCATCTTTCATCAGTGCCCCTCGAGAACAGAGCTGTCAGAACAAGAGAAGCATGTTTGTGCTTTAAAATATGGGAATCTTTCTATATATAACGTACAGAAGCTTATTCTGCTAAAACGTTTTCTTTTCACGAGTTCGAGTCACTATAGGGCAGGTCACGTGACTTTCAAAAATAGCATGCGGTGTACATTATATAGGCCAAGTTCTGTAGTATGCCGTTCAAAAGTTGTTTAATATAGCAGATATTTAGGCTCTGGTTGCATAAAGCATTATGAAAGGTGCCGTAGACGTTATTGGTATACAATACAAACTCATGACTGCTTATCAGTTTATTTCATTATTAGTGTGCCAGGTTCGCATATCACCAATAAGCTACAGTTATGCTAATTAACTTATTTTTTTTGTGTGAAAGAGTATGTATTTATTATTATTATTAATAATAATAATAGCGACACCAAGGTCATAGGGTCGATTCCCAGGGAATGCATGAACCAATAAAATGTATACCTTGAATGCAATGTATGCGGCTTTGGATAAAAAAGTCTGCCAAGTGCAATAATAATTAGTATTATTATTATTATACATTTGGCAGAAGACGCGTAATCTAAAGTGACTTACATTGCATTACTATTGGGTCATTCTGGGTCAGCTTAACCAGAGCCCCCCAGCTCAAATTTTTGATTTTGTTCAAATAAAAAAGTCTGGTGAAAGAAATGCTTAAATAAAGAACAAAGCCAAAATATTAAATGTCATCAATGTATATTTACGGAGTAATCCACTATTTTGTAGAGAGGGGTACAAATGACAAAGGAAAGTTCGCTAAGATCCAACATCTAAAAGGTCATTAAGATATCTGTATAGTTACAGGCATGAAAAACTTTAGAGAAAACTAAACGAATATCAATCTAGCAGTCACTTATCTCTTTGCAGCTCTTCCTCCGATGAAACCAGCATCCACTTGGACCTCCGTGGCTCTGAAGGAGCTGAAGACGAAGCTGTGTCAAGAGAAGGACAGCGTGGTGACGGTATATCGTGGAGACATAATGACTGTCCACGTGCCCACTGTTCCTGAGGCCAAGCACGTGTGCTGGGAGTTTGCCACAGATGGCTATGACATTGGTTTTGGGGTTTACTTCGACTGGTCACCAGTCACTAGCCGAGCCATTACTGTCCACATTAGTGAATCCAGCGACGATGAGGATGAAGAAGATGACCTGGAAGGTGAGGGAGTACTTCCTGTCCTGTTCCCTGCTTTTGTTCAGACGATCTGGTTGGAGTTCCACACAGTTGGCCTGTGAATTGTAATTAACAAGTTAGTAAACTGGGGGACTCTCAAGAAACCAGTCAAGATTTTGTCCAGGTCATATTTTACCTCAAATCCAAATAATGAAATTAAAATGTTACATTTTCAATGAAGAAAAAGCCTATTTTAAGATCTTTTAGGATGTTTTTTTATAGTGTGACAATTATAATGCCACATCAGCATCCTCTCCCCAATTTTCATTACCGTAAATAAAAAGACTCATTATTTGATATTATTATTATTATTATATGAGACAAATGTATATATTTATAAATTATATACACTATTTTTCAAAAGTTTAGAGTTTCAAGAAATTTAAAATTTATTTAAAAAAAAACAAGGATGCAGTGATCAAAAGTCACAGTAAAGAATTTTACATTGTTACAGAAAATGTTATAAATAAGTGCGATGGATGGATGGATGGATAGATAGATAGATGGATTCATCATATCACTTTAATGTGAAGCACTATTAAGATAAATACAAAAAATAATAATAAAAATAAAGATGATAAAAAAATAAAAACTGAATTTCCAGGCAATGAGAATTTGGGAGGTGTGGGGAAATGTGCTAATTTTTAATGGAAATAATGTCACGACATAAAAAAATGGTGTGTATGTATATATATATATATATTACTGGTTCAATGTCATATTAAATGTTGTGAAACTTTTTAGTTTTTATACAAAGCTTAAAATAAGTAGATGCATATAAGGAATACTTTCAGTGATGTTTGGACAATTGCTTTGTCTAACAGTCCCTGGGGTTCCTGGAGATGTTGAGAAGGGCTCTAAATCAGTTGCCAACTCGAACTTGGGAGAAATCCTGCCTGTGTACCGTCAGGACAGTCATCTGGCGGTTCAGAGCGGGAGCCACGAGTTTCCAGGAGAAGGTACATACCAGCTGAAGTTCGACAACTCGTACTCGCTGTGGCGGAATAAGACTCTGTACTACAGAGTGTACTACAGTGCCTGAGGAATCGAGTGCATATTTCAAAACAAAGGTTTCAGTGATACTATTTTTGATCGTATGTGTTCAATTACTGTCTAATTCTTGCTTTTGTTGATTTGTGCTTTTCGTTTTATCCAAGCCCTCTCATAGATCAAAAAATGACCTCTCTCGCTCTCTCTCTCGCTCTCTCTCTCTCTCTCGCTC